ATCTCCTCTTCCCAAATTGTCCATCTTTGCGCGCAATCTGAGCGTCAATTAGGGAGACATTACCGTATTGTCTTGGCAACAAAGAAATTTCGGTTTGCACCGATAGACAGCGTTACGTTCGCATCGTCGTTCTTTCGTTAAGGTTCTAATGTTTTGGCCTCCAGCTTCGGTAGTCGACGCGTTTAGGTTACTATAGAAACAAATTCCGCGTAGTTTCGTTCGCAACCGACAGTTCGCCGTCAACTTTAACACGGAGCGCGAAAACGAACATTTCCGACGCGTTTCACTTTTTTATTTTCATAAAGGCAAGAAAGCGGCCGAGGCTCGCGAAGAGACACGCGAAGTTTACGGCGTCGATCGCTCGACGGAACGCGCGCGTCGGAATCGCTTCGAAAAATTTCGTTCCGAAGATTTCTCGCTCGAAGACGACCAACGTTCCGGTCGGCCTTCCGAAGTCGACGACGACAAAATCGAAGCCACGATCGAATCGAATCGTCGTGTAACTGTACGAGAGATCGCGAAAAGGTTAAATGCGTCGCGCGCAACGATCGGATGTCGCGTAAGACGTCTTGGACTCGTTATCCGGGCGTCAGTAAGGGAGACATTATTGTACAGTAATGTCTCCCATACTGACGCTCGGATTGTCCACAAAATTGGACAATTTGGGAAGAGGAGATACGCTGTCTCTTATACACATCTAGATGTGTATAAGAGACAGCAGTAATGTCTCTCTAATTGACGCTCGGATTGTCCACAAAATTGGACAATTTGGGAAGAGGAGATACGATTGTTCGAGCCTTGCGGCTCGTTTTTATAATTGTGAACAATTTATAACTATAAAAACGAATCGCAAGGCTCGAACAATCGTATTTCCTTCTCCCCAAATGGTACAATTTTCGTGGACAATCCGAGCGTCAATTAGAGAGACATTACTGTATTACTGAGACAAAACCGAGGTTCCTCACGCGCCGATAAATGAACTCCCCTTATTCCGGCGAACGCGTGCCATTACCGATAAGAGGCGCCTTTATTTTTCGGGAGGAGGGGGGGCTGAGGCGCCGGCGTCTTTTCGCCGTTTACATTGGCCGTCCCGTAAAAGGGAAACAAAGAGGAAGCGGTGTCCCCGAGAGGAAAGATCGCGTTACGGGATCGATTGGTCCCGGCGAACGTTCCGGCGGCCCCGCGGAAACGAATCCGAAGGAGCGCATACTTCTAACGCGTCCTTATCTGAAAGCTTATGCAAATGCCGAGCAGTTTGCTACGAGGATTTGCATACACTAGCCCGGCCGATCTATACGGGATCATGTCTAGGCATAATCTCAAGAAGCCCCGCGCAGTTATATACACCGATTCCCCGAGTAGTCACGTTAACGGCGCCGCGGCCTCTCCCTTTTTGCCTCCCTTTTTGCAGCCGGCCGGAACAAGTGCCCCCGTGTTCACGGATCCTCTCTTTCGACGGACTATGCCGGAGACACGCGGGATAGGACGAGCGACGAGAGGAGAACGATACCGTCGCGCGTCCGATACGAACGGAAGCGCGCGTATAAAGTTAACGTGCTTAACGTTCGTTATCTGCGCCGGCTAAAGACTGCAGTTTCGGACAGTCGCCGGCGACGTTTTCACCGGACGACGATTTTCGGGGGTTGTCGGAAGTTCGGACGAACGAACTGCCCCGACTGCTGCACCGGGAAAGTTGAGGGATCTGTGAATCGCGGGACTATAGAGAGGCTTTTGTGTTCCATCGAGTTCGACGATATAGTTGTGTCGCTCTAATTGACGCGCGGATTGTGCGCGAAAGCGGACAATTTGGGGAGAGGAATATTTTTGATATACTTGCGGTTCTCAGTTTTATAGTTATGCATTGTTGATAACTAGAAAGACGAGCTAGGAGGCTCGAATAATCGTATTATATATAATATATTATATTATATTTTACTGTACATTATATTATATTATATTTTACTATATATTATATTATATTATATTATATTTTACTATATATTATACTATAATATATTATATTTTACTATATATTATACTATATTATACTACATTATATTTTACTATATATTATAGTATATTATATTATATTTTACTATATATTATAGTATATTATATTATATTTTACTATATATTATACTATATTATATTATATTATATTATATTATATTTTATTATATATTATACTATATATTATACTATATTATACTACATTATATTTTACTATATATTATAGTATATTATATTATATTTTACTATATATTATAGTATATTATATTATATTTTACTATATATTATACTATATTATATTATATTATATTATATTTTATTATATATTATACTATA